TCACTAGGTCGGCGCTAACCGTTGGTGGGCTGGTGTCCCTCCTGTGCTTGTCTATAGTCCAATTTGGAGATATGTCATTATCTGGGTTCAGGAATGCTGATGCAAAAAACTCATTGAAGAGATCAGCTTTGTCCCTCCTATCAGTCACTAAGTGCCCTAGCCTGTCCCATGGGGGTCCTATGTTACCACGTGCCTTCTTGTTGCTCCCTAGATACCTGAAAAATGACTTTCTCATTGTCTTTAATTTTTGTTGCCAGCCTGAGCTTCGTTGCTGCCGTGGCCTTTGTGTCTCCCTGCAAGCGTGAGCCAAGTAGGTATAATCCTCCTTGGTGGCTACCCGCTGCTTCCACAGTCTGTATGCCTCATCCCTAGGCTTTCCTGGACTTCCCTGTTCAGCTAAAAGGGTTTCTTGGCCCCTTTGCCCCCCTTTACGTGCAATGGGATTGTCTCTTTCCGTGCCCAAAGGATCGTTCCTTTGAGGGAACAACCTCCCTTCCTGGATTCCCATCTCACCAATGCTCCTGTCCTTCAGTGCTTCACTTACTAACCTCTTGAGCTCATTGAAGTTAGCTTTTCTGAAGTCTAGCTGTTCTGCCCTACTGGTTATCTTCTCCACCTTTCAACAGATAATTAATTCTGACAATCAGTGGTCACTATTTCCTAGATTTCTCTGCATCTCCAGATGTCCCACCAGGTCACCCCCCTGCAGCAAGCACCAAATCCAGCAAGCCATTTCCCCTAGTGGGACCATATACTTCCTGTGATAGGTGAAGGTCCTTTATGCCGATTACGAACCTATGTGAATGGTTGGATCTAGCTGAATGCAGCTCCTAGCAGTAGTTAAGGTCACCCATGAGAAGCGTGTCCCTTGACCGTATGTCCTCTGAGAGCTGCCTGGAGGATTCCAGGTCTAGCTCATCCTCCTGGTGTGGCGGTCTATAGTAGACCCCCACTACCAAGTCCCTTCCCCCCGACCCTCTTGTATTCTGACCCACAGTGCCTCAATATGCCCCTCTTCTGATCCACATTGTCTTCATAAAATTTCCTTTCCTTGTTAGCTTGCACGACTCTGGCTCTTTGTGATCCTGTGCATGCAGGGTGCTGAAGAAATAGAAACAGGTTTCGATGGATGTTGCAGGGCACTTGGGAATTTCAGCCCAAAAGATGCAGAACCGTTGATGGCATAAATCACAGGGCTTCACTGAAGTCCACAGAACGATGCTCCCTGGCACCAGCTGAGGATCTGGCCTCATTCCTCTCTCTCGCATGCCAACACATAGCATTATGCAGCTTATTAAATCCATTTTACTCTTCTAGTAATACACTTTTCACTTTGTTAAGGAAAATCAGCTTTGTCCAAGAGCAGCACTGTCAGCACTATTAGCAGCAAAAAGCTTTTTTCTTTCCAAAAAGAAAAAAAAAAATAAAAAAAATATATATATA